GAAACTGGAAGATTTTGTCATTAGAAAATGGAATCCAATTTGAATCATAGCACGCGAAGGAGAGAATCTGGCTGTCATTTGACGGGTGGACTAGCGCTGCGCTGATGCTCAACGTACACTAGAGTATTTGAGTGTTTTCTGTTCTGCCAGCAGAGAAGAAAAATAAATTGCCATAGAACCCGGGTGTTCTTTGTTCGAAAAGTTTGATCAGTGAAGGTTTAATCGAAATGTGTTATCTGAGCCCTGCTCAAGTCAGAGTAGCGCTTTTCGACTGATGCATGGCGAGGTTTATAAGCTCTTGGTTTGTGCCTTCGCAACGAATTCAAAAAAGGACGGGGTAATTTTAACGTTGAAGACTGTTTCAAGTGCAAGATCGATTTAATCTTTTCAGCGAAGTACAGTCGTATGTTATCACTGGTTGAATAGCGGCCTTGAGAACTCGCAGTTTTATCTAGAAGCATATTTTACCCCCTGTTCATAGCGTTTAGGATTATGAAGAATCGTTTCTCGCGCGGTCAATTCGGACAGGAATTTCGTCTTTGACGTGACCAATGTTCAGTAGAACAGTCAACCCTATATAATTAGGGGACATAGTTTGTTCGTTGCTTCATTGTTCATTTCCAGTTTGCTAAACAAGTTTAATTTGCTACATGAGTCGAATATAGTGAAAGGACAGCGCATACAAACACCCAATTTTTTTGGTCTTACGTGTATGCATCCGCGACAAGTTGTCGAAAAATATGGATTTCTTACAAGCATTTTGTACACTATACTTCTGTTCGCTGTACAAACATGTCTGTTAGGCTAGGCCGAACTGACACGTGTGCACAATATTTACGATGGAGGCGGTTTTAGAGGTGAGATTTGCCTACCTCCAGAATACTATGCTTGAAAAACAGTGGTGGGCTACAGTTGTCATGATGGGCAACTGCAGGTAAATTCGTTCGGATTTGGCAGCTTGAATCCATCAGATCTGGGACAATGAACGCTGCTTTGTCGAATAGGTTTGCCACGTGACACACATGGTTTACGATCATCACTTATTGCACGCATTCCCCTCCATTCACAGCCTTCAATTGCACTCGATTAATCCAATGTGATTGATCTGTGAACATCGTATGTCAGTTTACAGCTTGATAGAAGTTGGTATGAGCGCACATCTATGTCGATTTCGTGTGTTCGATGATGTTCGGAAACCGAGGAGTCCATCCTGCCTGACTAATCAATATCATGATTGTGCTCACCGAAGCACTATGCATGTTTTTTCATTTTAACTTCTTTTTATTGAATATGTATACAATATAATTTTCTAAAAAGAGGAAGCAGCCAATCAAAGGGCTGCTATATAACCTAGAATGGTGAAAGTCCGACGGTGGTGGTGGTGAGATTCGAACACGCCTTCCGTTTCGATAATTTGGTGATGTTACCACTTGGCCACCATCGCCCAAGAGAGAACAAGAACAGATTGGTGGGTTGGCTTTCTTATCTAATTTTACAACAGAATAAATTTTTACAACCAAAGCTGTCTTAACCGTTGGTTTTGACTTTTTTTATTTTGAAGAGCATTTTTGCAAGGATTGTGTTGAAAATAGTACTCATGCTATCTCGTTCAGTCTGATTCTCAGTATTATTCCATGTATATTGCAGACCATTGAAAGTTTTACTAATTCACAGTGCGATAACCTACTCGTGCTTTTATACTACATCCGTTTCCATGAATTCGGTATGTATCATCTGGTTTTCCAATCGTCTGTTTCACTGCATCCCTACCATTCTGCAGTACCGTCCCGTTCGAAAGTGATTACTTTGCAAGATGCAATGAATTTGCTGGCCTCGGGTTTTCTCAAAGGCCCTGGAGGATTTCTCAAAGGCACTAGTGCGAGCGATATGATCAAAGGTACAAATTCGGTCAATCGAGAGGTGCGCATCGGAGTCACCTATGTGAGTTTACATGTGTTGTGTTTTCCTTCCATGTACTCATCTAATGATCCATTGGATTGTGTTTATCGCCAATTTGGGCAATGAGAATTTCACATTAGACTCCGGAAGAGTCGATTGGTCCATGCAGTCAAACGAATATATACATATCCCTGGCTATTGCCGCTTCGGAAGTTCAAGCATCTGTGATACCCACAACAAGCTTGCGTAGACCATATGAAAACCAGTCTGATCAGCTCCCCGGTGGTCAAGTGAGCAGTATACTCGCGTTCTACCTGTGAGGTCCCCGGTTTTATCCTCAGTTTGATGGATTCGCACTGTTGATGAGTCCGAACCAGGCCAAACAGCTGTTAGATGCCACCCAGCTATTCTGCTCCGTTACTGATGAAATTCACTGTAATAACTAATTTTAGTACATGATGAACCTGTTTAACAGAATCCATAAAAAATAAATTGCATTCCACCGGTGGGGACTTAAATAACTTCAAAACATTAAAACCCACGACGAAATGCGCTGAAAGCTCATGCGCAGAGCCCTTGAGAACTGGAATAAGCTCATCCATTCTAAGGCAATTTTACTCGCTGTTTGGGAACTAATCTGGGAGGATTTGAGCTAGGCTCACCGTATGAAAAGTTCATATGCATCGTACTTATCGCTTTTCTCGATTACGATCTGCGTGTTCCTACTTCTCTGTTGGAGGATATGATTAAATTTTTTATCGTTTATCAATCGCCATTCCTCTACTCGTTTCAACCATCCGCTTTCTTTTTTCTCGCTATACATTTGTTTGTTTGATTCTTGTCCCTATCATGCTAAGAAATCTCTTCGGGTGTCTTGTTAGATTGCTCGTCCTACGTGCTATACCCTTTCATTTGAAGTCCTTTCTCTCCAGAGGGATACATTTTTTGTCCACATCTGGTCCGGACCCTGCTTACTTCTAACAGAAGTATCCTCACGAAAATTCAGCGAGAGTTAACTGAACATCACAATTGTTTACATCGCTGTGCTGCGGTTGTTTCCTATTGCCAGCACAGTTGTTTCTATCCTGCTGTAACCCGATGCGTTTTGCTCACTTGTTTGCTTTGCGCACAGTTGCCATAGGGTGTCAGTGGTTAAAACCATTCAAATAGCGACCTGGAAGTCCTAGGTTCGAATCCCGCCCATCTACTACCAGTCTTCCTCATTTCCCTATTTTTCCAAGTAACCATCGTAGGGCCGTGATCAGGTTTCAAAAAGTTGACGGTATATTTATATACTCAATGATTAAAAAAGAAGTAAAACATTATTGTCATCATCATTGTTATGGAAGACTGATGCCCACTGTAACCTGTAAACTAACCACCCAAAACTCAATTAACCACGATTTGTTTGCAAAAAAACATTCAAAAGATTCCCATAGCGTGCATTTTATACGTGTCATATGATCCACTCGACCTCGTTTTCTGGTGATGCTTAAAGAATCCCATTATTTGTACATCGGTCTTGTCTACGCCCCAACGTGCTTCACAATCAAACGCGATGCACCGGGCCATTTCACATTCCTTTTCATGCAGCTACTGATTTGCATCGTTTATCCATTTGGCACTTGCGTAAAACTGGGCTTGCCGTGTGCTGTTTTCAGGACTCGAATGCCACCCACATGATAAACGAATTGTCCATGATGCTCCACTCTAACTGCGCTGGTGGTTTTCGTCTGCTAATGGAATTTCGCCAAAGCTGACGGCAATCTGTTACTTATAGTTGTCTGGGTCAAACATTGGTTGGCGTAAACAAATTATAAGCACTGAATGTGATATGCATGTATGTGTTTGTGAGTGCGCGCGTTCATTTCCTAAGTCCTCCAACTTCAAGATTTTGGTCGAGCAACTTGGAATCAACCTGTCGTGCGTCGTTACTTCGGACGAGTGTTAGTCAGCTTCAAGTCTGCTGGCATTTATTAGGCCATTTGAATAAGCTATTCAATGCGGTGAGACACCGCATCGTGTGAATTAGGCGCGACACATGTTTATCCTTCCGAAAATCGTAGTCTAGGATCGATAAGATTTGTTTGGTGAGCACTGAGCAAAGATGACGAAGTTACTATGGTACTTTGCCTTATCGCAGTTTGATGTCTTGCTCACCTCCACCGGTTTCAGGATTGTTTTCAAATCGAAATCTCAATGGTCATGGTTGAGGCTAAACATCGCGTAACAGAACAAAATCAGTAGCGTGTTGTATTATCGGTCACCTGTTTTTATTCTATTGGGTGGAAACTCCAGTTTATCAATCAGCCTGCCAGTCGAAACCTCTGATACATTGAATTATCCACTAGATAGCCGTGATGGTAATCGATAACGAGGGAAGTTCGTGTACATTATTGTGTATGTTGTCTGTCTCAAACTATATTTGTTTATCCCAGAAGGTATTGAACTCTGAATGACCCCTTCCTTTTGGCGATAGGTACCAAGCACAGTTTTTGTATACAAATCAGGTTTTCCCGCTCAGCCTTCTGAACATTGCACACTATTTCACTATGTTATCTACTGTACCATAATACCCCCTCATTGTTATCATGCTGCGGTATCCATCTCTTGCTCGAAACCCCACTCTTAGGCTAAACAAGGTCAACAAAGGCAAGAACCACGATTCTGGTTTATTGACATTGGTCGCTGCGTGGCGTATTGACGGTACTCATTCGTTTTGTGTGATCATGTTGTTTGAACGACTGTCACGGGGTGCATGTTTATAGCGTTTTATTGAACACAGTTCACCGTGAATCCTGGGGATTGCCAAAGTTTTATTTGCTTATCCCTCACTAAAGTCTTTAATAGCAAACGCGCGACCCTTGAACGGCCGCGCTACAGTTTCTCATCTCCGTTGCATCCCGGAGGTTATCGACCAAATTACTCAGTATGCGTACTTTACCCATATTCACAAAAATATCATGTTAAAAATTAAGGATGTTGTGATGAAAAATCATCCCACAGTGTTCGGAGAGTCAGTCACTAGTCAACCGTACAAATACTCCAAACGCAGAGAACGCATTCGTGCCGGTCGGTAATCCGCTCTCGGCCTCACTACTCTCGACACGATAATTGTACCAGTATCCGTTCTTTGTTTAGAAAGCTTCTAGATTTGTGTCTCCAGGACCCATGGATCAATGGGAATGTGGAAGATTTCGTGGCCCAACTGGGTAATTTCATTTACTTCAGACAGGATAGACAACGGTGCAGGAAGAAATTGGGAGGCGGTTTGATTACCTGCATCAATTTTAAGTGGTGTGACAAGTCCGAAATACTTTTCAAATATTCAAAAATGGCATTGATTGCTTGACTGCCGTCTGTTACTCAAAACTTTCCGGTTTTCTTTTT